TGAAGAGAAGATAGAAGAGGGAGAAAAATATTCACATGAAAAGGGGCCTAGAAAATGGACAGAGCGCTCGTGTGTACAATGTTGGGGAGATTACTGATAGCATGGGAAAGTGCGCCCCATATCTGACAGAGCATTTCAGTGCCAGCCCTCTGAACTGTTTGTACTAAAGCTTCTTCAGTATCACTTCCCAGCAGCTGTGGCCACATCCTTGCTAAACATGATGATTTACAAAGAAAAGATTGATGCTTCAGAGATAAACAGAGAAGTATTAGGCTGCAGTGAAGAGTCTGTCTCCGCTGCAACCCCTGCATATCTTTCCATCCCAGACAAGTTCTAAGAGACTGGGATGGACAGGACATATTAAGTCACTTCACACGAAATGTGATATGACATGTGGAAATACACAAGTCTTCAGCTTGCTTTGAGAGTATGGCTGTTTGGGTTTTTTTKTTTGTTTGTTTGTTTGTTTGTTTTTGTTCTTATCACAAATGAAGACATTCTAGAATCTGTTCTATTGAAAAGACTATACAAAATAGAGTTGTTTCTTTTCTTTCTTTCTTCCTTTCTTTCTTTCTTCTTTTCTTTCTTTCTTTCTTTCTTTCTTTCTTTCTTTCTTTCATTCATTCATTCATTCATTCATTCATTTTTTTGCCTGTGTTTGTAAGAATTTACCTCACAGCCTTCAAACTGATGTCAGAAACACTGTCAAGAAAATTACTATCATTACTTGACAGAAACACTGTCAGGAAAATTACTATCATTACTATCAATATATACTACTAGTATATATTAAAACAAAGAATTCATCAATAAGTGTTACTTCTTCACAGAGAAAAGAACAGAAGAAAAAACACTATAAGAAGAAAAATTATTTCCAAAGAGTTTTAGCTTCCTTTGAGAAAAGAAAAAAAAATGATACCTAAGCTCCCAATATCAGCTCTGTTAGGAGCTGTGTTTTTAGGAGCTCTGGGCAGATTTCCATACCACATGACTAAATGAGATATTATCTTTTGCAGATATCATTTCTTCATTAATTTAAATTCCCTAAAATGCTCTGTAGCATCTTACATGGCAGCAAGTATGTTTAACATTGGAAGCAGGCCAAGTGAGATGAGGAATATAAAGATCTAAAGAGAGAAAGAGAAAAATCCAGTTTAAAAAGTAGGGAACCACTTGGCATAGCAAGCAGAAAAATCTGTGAAAAAGAAGAGTACCTTAAACCCCACCAGCAGGTCTGAATGAGATAGGACAACTCTTGAAAACACAGCCATGAAATTTTTTGTGGAACAGGAACCCAATACCACCTCTCTCCTGTGTCCTCACTGTCTACAGAGAGACCTCTGCAATGCTTCACCAGAAGTAATAGTCACATGGGCTGTAAGACACACAAAAATGAAGCAAATGGGGAAGAGAAGCATGGTCAGGAATAAAATGTGTGTACTTCTTACAAAATGACTTTAGTAAAAAGAACATCCAAATCCAAGAAACTCAGGTAAGGAAATGGAAAATAAGATATAAAATACAATAAGAATTTTACAGAGCAAAAATAGAAAAGATTTGAAAATAAGTACTGAAAATATATATATACTAAATTTAAATGAAGCTTTCCAGAAAGTAAACTACACACATACTTTGGCTTCACTTTTTTTTTTCTTTTTTTCTTTTTTCTTTTTTCCCTGAAGGCTTCCTCTTCTCTCTTTCTAAAGGAGAAAACATGGTTGAGATTCCCAGGCTTATTTGCATGATTTGGTGGATTACTCTGTATCATCTATTGCATGCTGATACCTATTGTACAAAGTGTAAGTAAAATATTTTTGCAACAATAGTTTGTAAAACAGGTTTTCATTTTTTAATTATGAGAGATATTTGCAATTAATCTGCCAATTATCATCTTAGACCTGCTAGATACTATTCTTTACACTGAATAAAAACAACCATCTATTCTTACCAAAAATATTCTATAAAATTTACAGTAGAGACTCAAGAATCACCTATTACAAACTTGACATTGAACTGGAGAAAAATGGAACTGTCTTGGGAAAGCAGCATGAATTTCTCYGAGTACACTTGTATTGTGACTACAGATAGAGCTCCTGCACAGAGAACGGTAAACCTGTTATTTATTGAGGACAAATAATGACACAAATAATGGGGAAAAAAAAAAACAGCTACAGGTAAATTCTGATTAGTGGTTTTCTACAGTTTTATCTGTCTGGAGACTGCAAGAAGGTGCAAGTGCTAGCATGCACTTGCTGTAAGAGCAGCGTCCTGTGTGTGCCAGAAAACAGTGGGGACCAAAGTGGAAGGAAGGGTAGTGAAGGATGTGAAACAGGACTCCAGCTATTGAAATAAAGGACACTATGTGAGACATCTAGAGAATGTACCCAGAGTCTGAGTTGGGGTATGGATCAGACAATCAAGMTGCAACAATTAAGCAAGGGGAGCAGAGCTTAAGAATCTAAGACAGAAAGAGAGACCTTTCAAGAGAAAAGTGAGTTCCTCAGATACTGCTATGTATGTTTGATATCTTATATTCTTCACACACTGGTTCTCAGTAAACCAGGTCATGCTTCTAGGTCATGTTATAAGCATAGGGAGCTCAAGAAAGAGGGCTTACGCGTCTTAGCAAAGTAGATGTCTTATTTAGAAAAGCATATTGAAATAACACATCATTCTTTTATTGAAGACTATAAGTGTTTTATTGAAGACATAAGCACTATGTCATAGGCTACCATCTTTTTTAACCACAGGAGACATCAGATGAGTATACATCAGTGAGGAATTCCTTCTAGGAAGGGAGAGCCTTTTTCTAGGGTCATCTGGTTAAATTCCATTTTGTTTCCTTCTTTTATTAACCATTTCTTGTTATGCCATTAGGCACATTAGCTTTCCCTAATTTCCACACACTAATATAGCACTTAACTCCTGATCTGGAATGTTTTTTTGTGTAGTTATGTCTTTTTCAGCACTTGGCTACCTTCTGCATTACCCTCAATTGGTAAAGAGTTAGTCCATAAGCCAAAAACATATATAAACTAGATTTTGTGCCTATGAGCTGAGTTGCTAACCTGCCCTTCCAGAGTCAGTATCATCTATTAGAGCAGAGTTAAAACAGAGAAATAAAACATCCTTATATTATTTTCCAGGTGAAAGATGCACCATGCCGCTTTTCAATGGAGGTAAACCTGCCTCTCCACAATGGGGCAAACTTTACCATTGCAGTACCAAACACAAACATCTCAAAAACCTGCCTTTTTTTCCCTGGAGGTAATGCTTGATGATCTGGGTAAGATTTTATGTATTTGAAATTGTTTAAGGATAAATAAATAAATAAATAAATAAATAAATAAATAAGCTTGGAAACAATTCCTTTTACAGAGGTTGATTTTAAACATTTGATTTTAAACACTTCTGTGACAAATATTTCCACAGCTCAGTTCTGCAGGAGGTATATTATTAGAGAAAATGACACACGGTAACCATGATTTAGGAGTGTATTCAAATAACAGTTCTGAGTGCTGRAAATTAAGATGGTAGAACCTATAGCTCTATTACCTATTTTTCTGCTGGTCTGTTTGTGAGTTTGTCAGGACCCAGAGCACAGGGTTAGCTAAAGGAAGAGGCAAGAAATCAATTAAACCGATTGAATAGGAGGAGGAGAGAGAAAAGGAGATGCTGGAGATAAGCAACTAGGATCAAACTGAAGGTACTAATCTCCCCATTGGTCCCTGACACACACACAGCTGGTACATACCCATGGAGTCAAGATAATTGTTTGCCTGCTCCCTCTATGTGTTATTCCAAATGTGATTTAAGCAGATCCTAGATTCCTAATTCTGAAGTAGAGGTTTTAATAGCCTGTTTTGCATTTCCCTCTTGTTTTTCTCCACTGAACTAGTCCAGTTATCAGTGGTTCTGCTGCTGTGCATAACTGGAGGATTTCACACTCCTCAGGACAAGATTAGCAGCTCACTCGTGCCCAAGTAAAGAGAGTATTCCCCTACTCATCTCCGTCTTGGGACTTGGCAAAGGAACTGTTCTCATGGTTCTCCTCAAAATGCAGCACATCATTGCCTTTTAAAACCCTTTTAATGTTTTTCCATAACCAGCCTAAAGTGCAGGTTCCTCAGGAGAAAATCAACCTTGCTTCCCCAAGAGTAGCCCCAGTATTTGATGTCATGGAAGACTGGAGGCAGTAACAGAGAAACTATCTGGATCTCTTTGCTGATGCTGTGACACACTGCAGAAGAAGTCAGAAAACATACTGAAGGAAAAGAGAATGAGGCTAAACATGAGTACGCAACCCAGCAGAGAGGAAGCTTCTGAAGAACAGGAGTTTCTGCTTAGAACGAGCTCCAGAAAAGGAAGTATTGAAGCCACTTCCTTCCCACCACGGTGGAAACCTCTAGCTGCTGGTTATTTGATCAGAGAGGAAAAACAAGTCCCACCTTGCTTTTAGAAGTCTGCCTTTTTTTAAACACAGTATGTAAATAGATCAGGAGAAGTTTTCTAAATATTATTYCCGAATGTATCTCTCTGTAGCACTAAGGATGTTGCTAAAGGCAAGCACACATTKCTTTACCTATGTGAGGGCTGCAATCACTCTCAGGTTTCCCAGTTCAGAAGTCATCAAAACAGGGTGACAGYCTTGTTTGCTCAGTTTCCTTTGGCCACCACACACTGCTCTGAACTCAAGTTTCTGTTCCTTTCTGGAGACCTCAGTTAGGCTCCTGCCTCTTCCTACAGAGGCCACAGAGATCTGAGATAGATCTCTCAGGGATGCAGAGCCTACCTTAGGGTCCAGGAGGCTAAAAGGCAGATGCTGCCTTACTCAGTGGTGTGATACAAGCGTTTCATTCTGATCTGGAACAGCTGGGAAACYAAAAGGGACATATCAAAACACAGGAGGTCAGTGTTGAGGTCATTCTGATTTAGATTGTATTAGAAATTAGATTGTATTAGAAATACAGGTTCCTTCAAACTTTAGTCTATCTGATTTTATCTAAACTGTGCCTGAAACAAAATCCATACTAAACACAACACAAACATCYTCCATTTATGCTACCTAAAATCATCATTCTTAAACCAAAGTAATAATAAACTCAAGTTGTAGGTCCCTAAAATACCTAACTGGTTACTGATATCTTCTGACTTGGAGTAGTCATACAATTTTCCCTCAGGTGACATGAGACATTTCTATGTTTCAGGCATGCCCGGAACAGCCATTACGAATTTCTCCTGTGTGATTTACAACATTTCCTTTATGAACTGCACCTGGTGCGCAGGCAGGGATGCTCCAGGCGATACCCAGTATTTTCTCTACTGGAAGAACTCAAGGTGAGTTGGTCTTCTTGGCTCCTTGGAGTTAATATTGGTCTAACATGTGACACTGTAAGCATTCAACTTACTAATTTAAACACTTTGATGCACACAGAGAAGAAGAAGAAACACAATGCGAGCTTTATGTTAAAGATGAAAATGGGACACACAAGGGATGTCAATTCCAAAATGTGTCTATAAAAGATATAACTACTTACTTCATGGTGAATGGCTCTAGCAAAGACTCCCTGATTCGGTTCTATGATGAATACATCATATTGTACAAAATTGGTAAGTTTTGGCCTTTTTTTTTTGTTTGTATTTTTTTTTAGTATATAAGAAAGGAAGTGGTGAATTTACCTCTTAAGACAAAAAGGGAAGAAAAAAAAACCTAAAACAAAGTCTGTAGCTATTAGAGGATTCTAATTTGCAGAGCACGACTTGATTTTTGATAGCTGAAAAAGTATAGTTCTGAACATGAGTTAAACAACTGCACAGACAGTCTGAAAAACAGCTCAGAGAAGGGATATGAACATATCCAGATATTCTAAGTAATGAAATGAAAAGATTAGATTTTTCAAGGCCAGATTTCTAATAGCTCTATTATGCTGAGGGTCTTGTCCACCACTTGCATAATTCCATGCTTCTCTGAAAGCCACAAGATCAAAGTGTCCTAAAACCAGAGGGAGGACGCAGCTTGCAAATTAAGGTGGTTTAAGTTAAATATGTATATGCTGCCCACATATGAGCTAAGTGTTTAAGCTTCCAAACAGATCTAGGGCAGAATTCTAACAGCTAAAAATGTACATCTAGGGCCATTGGAAACACAGTAAGATATTTAAGACTTACACAAGGCTCACAGATACAGCCCAGGACTGGCCCCCATCTGGCCCCCATAGAACATAGTTATGTTCCAGCAGCTGAGTCCTGCGAATATTCAACACAGTCCATGAGGTTCCATTTAGCTGAGCTGTCTTAGACAAACATGGGCAACACCAGCTCGGTCTTCACTGGCTATAATGAATGGTTGGATACTTGGCTTACATATARACAACTACATTCTGGACACTCTTATTTTCATGACTATATCTTCTAGGTAAATATTACAATATATATAACCTCCATCCTTTCTTCTGTGGTGAACCTGCATGGTCAATGGTTAGGTACAGAAAAAAAAATGACCTTGTGCTGATTGTATTGCTGAATTACACAAAAGCCTTCACATCTCTTTTACATGAGCTCCAGTTGCTTCAGTTGCATCTGATACCTAATTGCCTAATTTTGCTACTGAATTTTACTCTTCTGTACTAGATGATATGGATTAACAACAATCATTAGCACATAGCTGTACAGAATTTGCCTCAAATGCTGATGTATTTTGCTATGAATGCACAAATTGTGGCTGATCATTGACCATGTCTAGAATGATCATTTTATTTCATTACAGAAAGACTCACCGCTCCATTAAATATCACTGCCAATTGTACTGCTGAGCCGCGAGGTTGCGTTATTGAATGGCAAGAACCCCTTACAAGTCATGTGGAAAATAAAGATTGCTTTCAATATGAAATTAACATAAAAAACAAGGTAAAAACTCTTTACCGTTTTTTATTTGGCACTTTGCCTACATACATGCACACAATCAAATTTTTGTGTCCTTCATTTACTAACTTTGGTCTCCTAAGCTGTGGTGTTTCTCTGCTTTGGTCCCACCATTCCTGCACTCCACCACTTGGCACCTTAGTTCAGAATAACAAAGTTATAACAAACAACAAAGAAGAAAAGAGTATATGGTTACAAAGGGTCAAATTTATACCTTTTTTTCCAGCTAGCTCTCAGACAGTGCAGAGAAACTCGGAGACTGAGAGAGCACATTTAGGCCGGTTTCCAGAGAACCGCGTTTAAGGGCCACACGATGGCAGTGCGGGAGCAGGGAGGAGGCGCCGCCGTCGTCTTCACGGCAGCCTCAGCATCATCCAGTCCTCTAGATGGTTCCTGGAGGTTCCTGGATGGTTCCAGATGGTTCCTGGAGGCCTCTGAACTTCATTCGACACATGGAACGGTCTCTTCCTCTCCACCTCCATCCCAACATCCCTCTAGCAACCTCATGTGCTTCGTTCAGAGGCGGCCTTCCCTTGGGGCCTGATCAGCCCGTGCCAGTCCCTGTTTTTCCACACAATGTTCACCAAAACCTCCTTTTTGCAAGCAGTGTTGAAACAGAAGCCTCTCTTCTGGAACACTGAACGCACCAGCAGGTCGGGGCCATGTTGCACAAGCCCCGTGTAGCCATCAGCAGTGGGTATGTTTGCTTTTCAGCTGGTTACCCCATGCGCTCTGTGCAGTTGGATGCAGAACTATTCATCTTGTTCCAGGGTAGATAGACAAACTATATCCTTGAAGTGCTTCCTTCTTCCCACTGATTATAAGAGAAACTGAAGATGATCCATTCAGATGTAAAYATTTACCATGCAAATACCAAAAGCAAGCTGTCATTTATCCTACTCTATATGCAGGGTGCTACCAATTTAGTTACCAAATTACTACATAATCGTAAGAAAAGTACAGGGCAATACAAAGTATGTCTCTTTACCGTATCTATGACCATTTTCCACCAAGTACAGCAGAGCTGAGGTGTCAAATCTTCCTCCACAGATCTCAGTGCCTCAAGGACCTCTTTTTTTAACAGACAAAAGATCAAAATTTGAAAACGTGTTTTATGTACTTTGTTTTAAAATGAGTTTTAAAATGATCTTTAGGAATCAGGCCAGGAAAATCCTTAGAGATCACAAATTTGACATGGAGAAATGAATGAGCACTCTTCTCCCCTGTCTCAGGGATACTTATTTTACCATTATATGATTTGCACATGTGGATGATTCCTAGTTTCTGACAAATGAGGAGTCTCTTACCGTGTTTGCCAGCTACAGCCATAACACTTAGGGTAGTGGAATTTCTTTGGCCTCTGTAATGCAAAAGCCTTACGGGAAAGATGAGTTAAGGGGTAAACATAAACATAGGATCACAGTAGGCTAACACATCATTAAATTTCATGATTATACTCAAAACAAAGTCTGTAGTTTAAACAGCCTGCAGACAATTTGGATTGCCTGGATTGTGCATCTTAAATGTATGGTATATACATGTATGGTACATACATATAAGATACATTCATGGTATTTACTTTCGTAGCTCTTTCAAGGAGAAATTGTGATATTCATAATTTTGCTTTTGGCTGGTACAATATGACAGTAAGATCTTGTACTTAGAAAGCTTTACATAAAGGTACTGGTTATAACATGACTAATGTAATATGATGAAAGTATATTTTCTTTAAAGAAATATGATACCTCTTCTTCCTTATGCAGCACTCCAAATGGGAGGGATTCATCTCACAGAAGTGTGTAGATGGGATGCAGATAAGACTCCCACATGCTTGTATGAAATTCATCTCACAGATTAAAGCAACCAGCTGTAGGTGTCTGCACACAAGATGGTCTCACACTGTAGCCAACATCCAGGGCTCCCTTCAGCAGCGCACATGCCAGTACCCTGCACCCCTTGAGATGCTCCGGGCATCCGATGTATCTGCCCAGGGACTGCAGGTATAACACACACCTTTCTGGAGCAGCCACCTGAAGCACGGCAGGACACCTTGTAGCAGCTAAAACATCACTACATACCTAAGTTTAGACAACTCGGTGCACCCACACCGCCCACAATAAAGGACAGGCTTCCACCTATGTCCAAAGACGAAAGAATTCAGCAAACAAAAAGTTACAGGGAAATATTAAGGTCTAATTTATAAGACATCAGACGAAGCAGACATATTTTTTGAAATGAAACTTTCAATAATATCTTTTTGACTTTTCAATAATGTTAGTTATCCTTTTGCGATTACATGGGAGAAATGTTTTCAGGACCTCAGCCTTTCAGTGTGTTCTGGGATCCTTATTGAAAGCACTGCTTGTGAATTTGTTTTCCCATTTGGCATCCTTTCTTTCTTGCTTCTGTCTTAGATTTTCCATATTTTTCAGATTGTTTGATCCAGGTTTATGTTGAGTTCTAAGCAAAATAATCTTGACAGTATAGGATATATAACTCTTCACAGTATTTTGGGAAAACCCTGAGTATAGATTATACAGATCAGTAACATGTAACTTCAGAGGCAAATGTAACTTCATGCAACAATTGAAAAAAAATTTTATTTTACTTTATTAAATTTATTTTTCTTTTTTTTTTTGTTCAAAATTAAATGGACAAAGCCAAACTGAGTAAAATGCTACATTCTGAGGTACTATTGGAGCAGAATCACCATTTTTTTTCAGTTGAAAATGACTTATATTATAAGCAAGAAACAGAGTATAAAAGAAATATCTGATTATCTGCTAAGAAAATCATAAACATTAAAATTTATATTTGGTTTTCAGGATGAGCCCAAAGAAGAGAAGATGAATCCTCCTGTAAGAGTAAGTTTTCTTGTACAAAAAAA